AAAAAAAAAGAAAAGAAAATGAGATGGTTGAAACCTATGTAATTTTATTCACCACTGTCACCCCAGTAAATTTTAATTAAAAAAGAAAAGAAAATGAGGTGGGCTCCTATCTAAAGGACTTACTGTAAAATCAATAAGAAAACTAGAAAGTTGATAGTTACCTCCTTGATATCTCTGCTTTACCAGTTCTGATTATTTAGCAAGTTTTTGTTGTTGTCGGTTTTGTTTATTAAAGTGTGCAGGGAACGCAGACAGGAGCTTGCTGGCTGGCATGTGAGGCAGGGTTTTTGGGCTGAATGCATGCCCGGTAGGCTTGGAGATACCAAGGGTAATCAGAGCACAGTCAGTCCCCTTTGTTAGGCCAAGGGCACAGGAAGTGGCCTTGATGTGCCCAGGCAGCGGGCAGCATGGCCAGGAGGCCAGGCCTCAGGACGGAGGCCTCGATGGAGGAGGTGGCCTCCCTCAGGCCCCATTGCTTGTCGGCTGGTCTCTTGGGCCTTCCCGGAGAGCAGCTGGGGCCTCAGGGCATCTCCCTTAGGCTGTGCCCAGAGTGCCTTAGGGGACCAGCGGACAATCCGCGATAACCCAAGCCACCTCCATGGTCCCTCGTGGAGTAAGCCTAGACGGTCCGCTGCCGATCGGCCCGATTGCCATGCTGGAAAGAGCCTTCACAGTCTCTCGGTCTGGACAGGCCAATCCGGGGCTGCCCCAGGGACTGCGTCAGAGCCTGTGGCCTCTTGAAAAGCTGGCGCCCCACGCTTTCCCTCTTCTGCACTCCCAGGCAGGGGTCCCAGAAACCGGGACTATTTTACAAACCTGCCTGGGAATCCCCCAAGCTCTGGAATCAGGTCACACCCCCATAAGAGAACCATCCAGTCTCCAGAGAAAAAGAATTCAGGCTTTAAAGAACCTTTGGGTGTCTTGAGCAATTTCAGCCCGTGGTGGGTGAGCAGGGAATGACTCTGGCTTGAGAACAGCATTCATAGGAACCCTTGGATGTCTGGGTGGGAAGGGCCCTTAGTGATATTGTTGGGCTAGCTAGAGAAATAAACAGGCCTGCAGAGGAACAAACAGCTCGCCCAAAGGCCTCTGGGGAAGTGAGGACTGGGGAAGCCTCTTGAAGGGCTTTATGTCTTCCCCAGGGCACCTGTCAGATGACCCCTTCCAGAGACATGGAGAGGCATGGGCTGTCTGGGGAGGAAAGCCCCAGAGGGAGTGTGTGAGCCTGAGATTTGGATCCTCGGCAGAGGCCACTGAACTCTCTGGGGTCAAGGCAGGGAAGGAAAAGGGGGTGGGGAGTGAGTAGCCACAGAAAGAGCACATAAAAAGGAGCAGCAGCTATGCAGCACCAGCCCAGTGTCGCCCTGTGGGTCCAGTGTCACCCTGGCCTCCAATTTTTTTTTTTCAAAAGGAAGCCCCAACCCCAAGCTTTAATATGAAATCTCCTGACCTAAAATTGTTGGCCATGATTCAAATGTTTTAGAACACAGTGAAGGCCAAACAAAATGGAGGTGCTGGGCTGGAGGGAGGTCCAGAGTTCCTAGCAAACCCCTACACATTCGTCAAGACCCCATGCACAGAGACCACATCTGCAGTGATGCCTTCTGTGACCCTCCCCGGTTAGAGTTTAATGTCCTTGCGCCTCTTTTATTGTATCACCTTGTCAGTTTCTATTTGTGTGTAGTATCTCCCCTCCACCCCCACCTGTCTAATTCATCTCATTAGTTCAACAACCAGCAGGCACAAAGTTGATGCTCAGTTAATGCCGAGTAAATATTAGACAGCCAAGGATGCTCTGTGGTTAACCTGGGCAGGGGAGGAGAAGGGAACTGGCATTAGTGAGGGCCTGCTGTGCACCAGGCACTTGCTCTACATGGTCTTGGGTAGAAGATGTCGTCCCGTGTATGGGGCTGTGCAGAAGGAGTTGGACACGAAGATGTACCCTGACAACGCAGCCCACCTGGCGGGGTGGCACCAGCAGGCACCTAGAGTACCTTCTTGGGAGATTAAATCCTCCAGCATTCCCTCCCCCAGTTCTTGGGTGGGAAGAGACCCCAGTCTGTCGTCCAGATGGGTTGGGGGGCGGTGTGTGTCAGGTTTCAGTTTCTTGCTGTAACGAGGTGCCTCCCCTGCTGCCAGCCGCCTGCTGCCCCTGCTGACTCCCTGCCCGCGCCTGCTAGGTGGCTCTTCTATCACCTGATCCGCCCTGGTGGGTGGTGTCTCCTTTCAAGTGTCCTTTCCCAGAACAGCCTGTCCCGACTCCCAGGATGTGAGGCCTCTCGGCTCTCCCTTTTAGAGTCCTTCAGCATCCTGACCTTGCGTCACCCATCTAGGCTGGGGTCCTTTTCTCCCTGTGCCGCTGTGGGGGTTTTTTTGGGGGAGGGGGTGCAGTTCGGGGAGGGACTCTATTTCAATTATTCTCCTGTTCCAGAGCTTTTCCACTGCTGTCCTGAGCTAGTCCTCGATCATGGGACATTGGTGGCTCAGTACAGACCACCTGCAGACTTGGCCAGCTGACTTGGAGGGAGCTTGCAAAAACTTCCTTGCTATCAGAGAAATGGGAAAAAAATAGAGTGTTGGCAAAGACGTGGAGACTATGGGCCCTCCTACGCTGCTGGCTGGAGTGTAAAATGCGGCGGCCACTGTGGCGAGGAGTCTGACAGCTCCTCCAAAAGTTAAACATAGAGTGACCACATGACCCAGCAGTCCTACTCCTAGGTGTCTCCCCAGAAGAACTGAAAACAGGTGTTCACACAAATCCTTGTACACAAATATGTTCATGGTAGCATTATTTACAGTAGCCAGAAGGATAGACAAAAGGTGGTCCATCCACACCGTGGAATATTACTCAGCCATGAAAAGGAACTTCTCACACAGGCTATAATGTGGATGAACTTCATGATGCTGAGCGAAAGACGCCAGTCATGAAAGGCCACATGGTGTGATTCCATTAATAGGAAATGTCCAGAAAAAGCGAATCCATGGAGATGAAAAGCAGATGGCGGTTGCCCGGGGCTGGGTGATGGGGGAATGGGGAGTGACTGCTGATGAGTACGGGGTTTCCTTTTTGGGGTGATGGAAATGATTTGGAATTAGGTAGAGATGGTGGGTGCACAGCGCTGTGAATGAATGTGCTAAACGCCACTGAATTGTGTCTATATTTTGTAAATGGTAGATTTTATGCTAACTGTATTTTACCGCAATTTTTTTTAAGTGCTCCTTGCTATGGAAGAGATGGGAGGACAGGGTTTGAGTCTGTCATGGAGCAGGTGACAGCATGCTAGGGTCCATCTGTATGACCCCCGTCCCCCCGTTCCCATACCAGGACTTCCACTNTCCAGAACTCCCGAGAAAATAAATTTCCGCTGTCCTAAGCGATCAGATTTTGTTGGTCATTTGTTACAGCAGCCACACGAAACCAGTACACACCCATCCTCACAGTTCATTATTCCACCCAGTGCCTTAGCGAGCACCTACTGTGTGCCAGGCCTGTGCTCACTCAGGGAACACACAGTGAACAGGTGGGGGGAAAGACTCGCCTTCTGGGGCCTACAGTGTACTTGGTGGGGAGAAGCACAGGGGAGCAAACAATAGGCAAGTAACCGACAGCACGCCGTGAGCAGCTGCTGTGTGCCGTGCATCGTGGTCTGTGCTTTGTGCGTATTAACTAGGTCAGTCGTCACAGCAGCCCTAAGAAATGAGAGAGCGAGTATTAGCTTCAGAGCCTCCCCTCTGAATCACTGTGCAGTATCTTCTTTCCTTAGATGAGTGACTGTACAAGACACTTAGTAACTGTAAGGAGTGCGATGAAGGGAATAAATGTGGCGGGTGGGTGTCAGGGAAGGAAGGGGCCTCTGTGAGGAGGTGACCTTTGAACCGAGGCCTGAGAAGCACGGGGAGCCAGCTGCAGGGGTGGCGGGAAGGAAGGGATTTGCGGGCACCCGGAATAACTATGGCAACATGCCCCAGGTGGGGATGAGCTTGGAGGGGTGAGTGGAAAGCCTGCACGAGGGCGGGGTGACCGGAGAGGTGCGGCCAGGAGAAGGCCTGGGGGGCCGGTGTCCGCTCAACAGGAAGCTGCCGATGGTTTGTGCAGGGCAGGGAGGTGGACTCACCTGTGGGTCTCGCTCCCCCACCCCCAGGCATGTCGGAGCGGGAGCGGCAGGTGATGAAGAAGCTGAAGGAGGTGGTGGACAAACAGCGTGATGAGATCCGAGCCAAGGACAGGGAGCTCGGGCTGAAGAACGAGGACGTGGAGGCGGTAAGTGACGCGCCCCTGCCCCGTTTCCACCCTTCTGGCCCGTAGGTCCCAGCGAGAGCCTGGATCCTCCATTCAGGAGGTTCCCCAGCTCCCCTGGGCCTCATTCCATGGGCTCTGTGGGCTCTTTGGGGTGGGGATCCTGCTCACGGCCCTGAAACTGCAGCCACGGGTGGATCCTCAGCCGTCTCCACTGGAACAGCAGGTGGGAATGTGGCACTGCCTGAGTGACCGGAGTCCTGCACCCTGGGGAGGTCCCGACGCCTGGTCAGCCTTCGCTCTGACCATGAGGCTTCCTGAAGACCAGCGTGGTTCAGGCTGCTCCAGGAACCCAAGCAGTGTCTCTGCCTGAATTAGAAAAAGACACCCCTTTCTCAAGGCATGTTACTTCCATCTGCTAGGAAATTGTCACGATATACTAACAAGACACCTGTCTTCCATCTGTCATAAAGTTACGGTAAATACACAAATTGACTATCTCTGGCATCAACAGTGTTCTATGAACAAATCTCAAACGAATCGAGACGTCTACAGTAATGAATGGCACGCCTGTAGATGGTTTGCCCTTGGGCAGTGCTCTACGTGAGCTGCTGTACCGGGCAGCCCTGTTCGATGGCCTTTCTCGCTCCACAGCTGCAGCAGCAGCAGACGCGGCTGATGAAGATTAACCATGACCTCCGGCACCGCATCACAGTGGTGGAGGCCCAGGGGAAGGCCCTGATCGAGCAGAAGGTGGAACTGGAGGCAGACCTACAAACCAAGGAGCAGGAGATGGGCAGCTTGCGGGCGGAGCTCGGGAAGCTGCGAGACAGGCTGCAGGGCGAGCTCAGCCAGAATGGCGAGGAGGGGCCAGAGGTGAGTGGAAAGCCAACTACGGTGATACGGGGGGAGGGGAGCAGGTAGGTGTGTGGGCTATCTCCTTCCCCATGACACATAAGGAAATAGAGAGAACATGCTGCTGGATAGAGGACACACAGCTGGGTAGAGGCAGGGCTGGGCCTGGAACCCAGGATGCAAAGCATTCTAGCCCAGGGTATTCAGCTTTCTAGNGTCTGTCCCCGGGTCTTTGAGGACAGCAAATAAGGGGGGGGGGGGGGGGCAATACGGATAAGTTTGCAAAGAATTTCAGGTTCGTTGACCTTTGCAGTCTTTCAGGGAAAAGGTTAAAACCCTGGTCTAGTTAGCGAATTCCTCCTAAGAACCTACTGTGCGGCCTACCGTTCCTGCACGAGATCTCATTGAGTCCTCACCTCGTCCAGTGAGGTGGCGGCACTGTCGTTCCACTTTAGAGTTGACGGAACCGAGCCCTGAGGTCAACCACCTGCCTAGGGTCACACAGCTAATAGGCAGAGCCGGGGTTCAAACCCAGGCGGCCTGGCCCCAGAGCCCAGGTTTTAAACTCTGCAGGAGAGCCTCATGCTCACACGGTCGTCCTGTAGCCTCGTTATCTCCCCTGGGAAGGCCTTCCGGGCTCTCGGCCTTCCAGCTGTACCCAGGGTTTATTGCAGAAGAGGCCTGGGCCCTTTTCCCCCAAACCCCAGCAGAAACTTTGTAAAAGCGAGTGGTGTGGATTGGAAAGCCACCAGGAGCATGTGAGGACAGGAACTGGGGGGTTACTTGGACGCCTCCACCTTTAAATTCCAGTTATGTTTGGAAATTCTTGGCTTGTTCTTGTCTTTGAATTGACTTACTGTTCAGCATTGCTGGACAGGGAGGCAAGTGCAAAACGTGTGCAGATCTGCTCTTGGGAGAAAGGTCCATTTTTCCGATTCTGGGTCCTGGTGGCCGCAGAAAAGGCTGGCTGCCCTCTGCAGTGTGGGGTTAACGCGTCGCTCCTTTGCAGGCCTCTCTTGCCAGCTTCAGGTTGCTTATTGTGTACTTGGTCCCTGATCTCTGCTGGATTTGGGGGTGAGGGGGTGGGGATGGTCCCCAGTTCTGATTAGGGATAAATATTTCTGGGGGAGGTGAAGCTTAGAACTAGAAAGGTTGAAACTGGCTTCCTCCCGACTCCCACTCTATTTTGGCCATGGATTAATAATAATCTTCCATTGGCAGTTGAAACTCAAAGTAATTACTTTATTTAAGAAAAAGAAGGAAAAACTGTTTGGCTGAGTAACCAGAAACCCCCAGGTTGCCCTGGCTTCAGGCTCAGCTGGATCCAGGCCTTGTCATCAGGGCCCTGCCGTGTACCCTCTCCCTCTGACTTGATTTTACTCTCTGTGGGCGGTAGGGCAGCTCTCCCCTCACGGTGGCAGTATGACAGCCAGCGTCAGCCCAGGGTTTTGCTTTCTTCGGTCTAACACCCCTGCGGGGATGAGAGAATCTTCCCCAGAAGTCAGAGTTGAGCCTCATTGGCTCTGGCTGGGTCACATGACCACCCCTCGGCCAATCACTGGGCAGTGCATCGATTGGCCAGGTCTGGGCCTCATTCTCTCTCCTGAAGCTTAGAGAAGCTTTAACTCCGTCTAGTTCACATGGACTGAAATTAGCGAAGGACAGGCGCCGAGCAAGATCAGAGTGTGCTAGGCAGACAGAAGTAATGGGTGTCCCCGGTGGCCTCATCTTGGAGGAGGAGAGGGATCCCTTAGGTCTCGATAATGTGAGGCACTCAATCCCCAGGAAGATGCTTACTCTTGGATAGGGTCTCTCATCCATTGCCTGGTAAGAAATGGGGTTGACTTTGCTTAAACTCGGATCCACCTGCCAGCCCCACTCACGTGTGAGGATGAGCAGCATCAATCTTGTGCTTTAGTAAGCTACAGCTCTCAGTTACAACCTTGGGAAGCTGAGAAAGCCTACTGACCCCACACAGCCCCTCCCTGGGCTGAGAGGTGAAACCAAGAGACCAGTGTTCTGCCTTCAGTAGGAGTTCACGCCCAGATCTTTAAAAATCAGACCTTTCCAGCACTGGAATTCTAAGTCATATGTAATTCTGAGAATTCCTTCTGAAGCTGAGTTGTTCTGACTTTTTCGTTTTTCACTCCAGCCCCATTCCTCTAAAGCAGGTAATTAAGAGTTGGCTTTTGCAAATCTCAGACTTGTAAAACCCAGAGGAAAGTTATCCGAATTAGCTTCTTTCCACCAGGTCCTCTGCCCACACCTGAATAGACTGTGATGTCTGATCCTCTTTTTCGGATTGTTCTAGAGAGGACTCGGGGGCCCCATTTTCAAAGCCCTTCTCCCTGTTAGCATGGCCTCAGCAAGTCCTGGGGCTCTGAGCCTGGCAGGAGAAACATCTGGAATTGGGGAGCCAGTTATAGACAGACAGAAACAGATGGCGGTGGCGGCGGGGCAGGGGGGAGTCAGAATTCCCTGGCCGCCCCGGCCTTCTAGGGGGATAACTGGAAGATCAAACGGGCACAAAAGGCTTTTGACCAGCCCAGGCAGGACACTGGTCGCCTTTGTCCACCTCGGCTTCCAACTGGGAGCTGCATCATTGTGACCCATGAGCCCAGAGCCTGGGGCAGGGATGCATCTTCTCTGGGGGCCTGGCAAGGGATGGCAGTTCTTAGGACTGTCTCGTGCCTGCGTGCCTTTCCATCCTTCGCCCCTCTGGCGCCCATCTGGTCTGTTTGGTCCCCTCATCCTTGCTTTTTCAGAGTATTAGTCACACCGTCTGTTGAGTGCAGCTCCCGGCTGCTTTCCAGCTCAGCTTCATGCTCTTGATGAGTTTTTTTCCCCCCACTCACCACCAACTAAGCAGTAACTACGGTGGAGGTTTAAAGGGGCTTCACCGGCTTAGAACACTGGAACTAAGGTATCTTCCACCCAGGCAGAGATTCAGAGTTGGGACGTTCGGCCCCATTTCTCGGATGAGGAAACAGGCCCGGAGAAGCCCGTGTACTGCATTTAGGTTGAAGTCAGGATCTAACCCATGCCTTTTGTCTTGTTCTGCCTCCCTGCCCCCCTTGCCCTCACCCCACTCCCTGAGTCATCAGCTGTGGGCTGACTTCCCAGTTCCCTTATCTCTCAAGCACCCACAAGCTGGAGACGCCAGAGTCTACATTCTGGGCTGAACTGGCCAAGGGAACCAGAAACTCTGCTGCCAGTCAAAACAGTGTGCTCAGAAGTCGGCCCAGGAATAGCTTGTGATGGAGCAGCTGCTGGCCCCAGAGGCCGGGTTGGCACTGCCCAGGCAGGTCACAAGGGAGCGCCTGAGTGACTCCAACCTCGTCCCCAGTGGACACCAGGCACCAGAGCCCCCTTTGTGTAGTCTCGGCTCTCAGTCGGGGTCCTCTGGACACACACTGCTTTCTGCTGAGCAGGGCGGAGGGGCTGACCCGGGAGGCAGGAAACAGGCAGTGGGGGTAGATGGACGGCCCGGAAAGCTACAGATCACAGCAGCTGGCCTTACACACCGGAAAGGTTGGTCTTAGAGTAGGCGGCCACCAGAGCATCGAACGGTAGTGACAACAGTGCATTCTGTCCCTGTCCTCCTACCCACCACCGTCCTCACTTCAGCCTAGAAATAGCTTCTTCACAGCCGCCCATTGCACTGCCTGAAATGCCACTGGGTTTGTGTTCCAGAAATATTCGGTGGAGAGGAGGGAGTTGAAAGCGGCTGCACCATATCCAGGACATAAACGTTTAGCCAGAATGAGCCAGTTTTTCTTGTGGAAGTAGCTGACCCGCTAGAGGAGGCGGCTTTTGCAGTGGGTGCTGGGAATAGGGAGGGCAGGGGGCCACCTATTCAGTGGACCTCACAGACAGTAGGTTGGCCGGACCCCTCAAGGAGTCCCCCAGGCCCCTGTGCATCAGTCTGGCCCCGATCGGTTCCCAAATGAAGTCCAGCATGTCCGTGTGGGCAAACCAGCTTCTGGGACCCTCCCCACACAAAGACTGTTCTTGGGGGAACTCCCTGTTACACTAAGAAGAGAGGGGTCCTGGCAAAAGTGGGTGCAGAACCATGTGGCTTGGAGCCCCTGGAAAGCTAACTGCCCTTTAGCCTGGCCTCTGAGGATTGCACCCATTCATTTAGCAAAAAGTGTCCCCTCTTCTCCTTGTCACCATCCAGGTGGTTCTGCCAAGATCTGGCTACTCTGGAGGGGTGCATCAAAGGTGATCCAAACACACAGAGACTCCCCAAGCCCCGTGTGAGACAATTATTTCATATCTTTTCTCAGCCAACATCTAAAAAAAAAAACCAACAAAAAACCTCAAAGCTGTTCAAAGCAAGCTTGGGTGGCTCGGTTGGCATTTCTTCCTCATTTTCCTCGCCCAGCCAAGGGACCCACAAGCATTCTGGTGGCTCCGACTTCCCCAGGTGGGTGATTAGGCAGGCTCTCCGCTTCAGCACTTGTCCTGCCGGGCCCGCTCTGGCCACCTCACCTCTCCTGGTTCTCACCTGGCCACCTTCGAGGCATGGCACCCAAGGCTCGTGGCAGTTAGGGGAGACGTGATGGAAGACACCCAAGGGTGTCACCCCTACCTCCCACAGCAGGTTCGACTCCTTCCTTCCCCACAGCCCAGGCCTGCATTTTCAGCCCATGAGGGCCACCCCACCGCGTCTTCCCTCTGTGGTTGTCACATGCTGTGGTCGTTTGGTAGGGAAGCTGTAACAAACGTGCCACCAACTGGGGTGGATTAAACAATAGAAATGGTTTCTCATAGTCCTGGAGGCTAGGATTCCAAGATCAAGGTGTCGCAGTGTCACGGCCTTCCAAGGGCCGTGAGGGAGAATTTAGTCCATGGCCTGTCTTCTAGCTCCTAGTGGTTTGCTGGCACTCCTTGGTGTTCTTTGGCTTGTGGAAGCATCCCCCCAATCTCCGCCTTCATCTTCACGTGGTGTTCTTCCTGTGTGCGTGTCTGTATCCAAACTTCCCCCTTTTATAAGGACCCACCACCCTATTCCAACGTAACTTCACCTTGACTGGTTACATCTACAAGGACCCTGTCTCCAAATAACGTCACCTTCCGAGGCTCTGGGGGGGGTTAGGACTTCAGCATATGGATTTGGGTGGGGACACAGCTCCACCCCTAACATATCCCGAACGCAAACCCTTCAGCTGACGTGTGTGTGGAGTGTGTTTATTTTCATGCCTCCCTGTTTTTATCTTCTCTGTGTCTATCTGTACTTTTCTAACCAGGATCTTTACAGCCATAATGCCCATGGTAGCAGCCGGCCTGATCATAGATGACCCCACTCTCCAGCCCATCCGACAACTTGTTTCCCTTGTAGGCACTCTGTTTTTCTGGGTTTGGTTTGAGCTATGCCTTTGGAATGTCTGCTGCGGCTACCGCTGGGCTGGCCCCGTCTTCTTTGGCCACTTGGGCTGCATGGCCATCACCTGTGTGTTCCCATCTGAAGCGGGTGTCGAGTGTGATTTCAAACAGGCCACTCAACGGTGCTCGACCTGCCGGACCGAGGCCTTGGAATTCTCGGCTCTGTTACCGATAATTCTCTCTGTCTTTTCTGTTTCTATTCTAAAACCACCTTGTCCATGTTCCAGTAAAGAAGGTCCTTTAAGTGACGGGTCAGTAATCAACGCCCACTGTGACACCCCCCCACTCCCACCCCGAGTGACACTAACGCTATGTTTTCAGTCTACACGCCCCAGCTTTCTAAACTGCTTTGTTTTGCCAAGTCGTCAGTGAGCCATTTGATCTTGTTTAAAAAGCAAAGGAGGGGACCAGTGTTTTGATTCAGCGCTCCCCGCCCCTTGGACGCGACGTGGCAAGTGGCTTTTCTGCTTGCTTGAGTCAGGCAGAGGTGAGCTGTAGCAGTGATGTGTTGCCGCTGTGTGTTTGGCCAGCTAATTGCCCTGATTACTCTCTGGAGAGAGCTCACAAGTCACCCGTATGAAAAAAGCGTGCCTTCATGGGCCACTACGCACATCATATTACAGAGGCGGCTTTAGCGGGTAGGGAGAATTGCTCCAGATAAATTTGGCTTGCCCCAGCTTTGTGATAAAAGACCGCTTTATTCCTGGTAGGAAGTGATTGTAGGATTCAATAGCCACAAAATGGTAAAATCATTTTCACCCAAATGCGATTAAAACTGAATTCCATAGCCCACAGCATGTGTGCATGCGCTTGCACAAACACACACACACACACACACACACACACACACACACACACACGAAGCTAATAGGTGCACAGACAAAACTAAAAATAGTTGATCTGAAGCTTGGGTTTCTCAGTGGTTCATTCCTATTCCTGCCCCTGGGAAGCATAACACAGCAATTGTATGTCTTACCGAGTTCAGAAACCAAAATTCAAGAGGAGGAGAACTAAGTGAGCAAATAGAAGGAATCTTATTAGAGTCTGGGACAATCAAAGGACAGTTGGCAGCTTAGAAAGGGTTTTTGGGAAATACGGTGGGTCAACTCAAGTTTCCTGGCCAGGTTCCTGGTCTGTGTTTAAATGGAGTTAAAGCAGACCTTGTTTTATTGTTTTTGTTTTTTGTTTTTTTTTAGCTGAGCCATCCTGCCACCTGTTGGCAGCTCAGAGGCTGCTCAGCTCGGGCCAGGCATCAAACCGCTGTTGCTCAGAGCTCAAACTCTTGGGCGAGCTCTTAACCAACTGAGCCACTCAGCCGGCCCTCTACCTTTATCTTTTAGGTACTGGATGGTTCACTCTGATCAGTGATCAATAGTCACAGCTGTTTCAAAAGACCTCTGTGTCTGCATTAGCCGTTTCTAACAGAAATGATAACTTCTGAAGTTATTTCACCATAAATCAGGTTGTGACACTCCAAAATCATGGTTTCCCAAATTTCACACATACTATGAATATATTCACAGTGTTTATCTAATCAGAGAACCACATGTGCTATTAATATATTTTTTAATCGTCTCCTTTTTCTCAAACACCTACTTTCGCCTCATCCTGAGCAGTAACATCCATGAAACCCGGGCTTTGATGTGCCATTTATATAGTCTTCTGATTCGTTAAATAAATACATAACTACTTAAAAACATTCATCTGTGGACATCAGAACCAGCTCAGATTCCATGGGGCTTCCAAGTCTTAAACTTTTTACCTGCACCGTTAGGATAAAGAAGTTCATGATGTATGTTTCTAGATGCTTTTGGTAACCACTAGTAACGAGAAGCCCTCCCTGGTGGTTATAGTAGGAGACGGTGCAACACACGTCACATACGTGCACACTCTGTTCACACTCGCCTCCGAGGTACCATGACAATGTCACGCAGAATCCCCTGCTATTTTCTAGAATAACTTTGACCCATACCCCCACTTTTTTCTTTCACACCTTGAGTTGATTTGCTCCTTTCCATGTGTTTGCTGCTGTATGTCTCTGGCATTGCGAAAACCATCACGTGTGCATCAAAGGGCGGAAACACTCATTTCTTTCTCTCCTTCCAAAAGGTTTAGCTTCTTCTCCCGAGATAAGAAGCGTCTGGCCAACACTCAGAGAAATGTGCACATCCAGGAGTCCTTTGGCCAGTGGGCCAACTCCCACCGTGACGACGGTTACACGGAGCAAGGACAGGAAGCCTTACAGCACCTGTGACCGTGGCCCACCTCTGCCTTCGGACCTGAACTGTCCACCGCCAGCATTTCCAACAGCACGTGGCAGCCCCCGGTGTTACTGCCTTGTACACCTTTCGGTTCAGATGCACCCTCAAAACTGATCCCTCAAACAAACTGTCTGCTTTGAGGAAGCACATTGAAAAACTGATGCCAAACTCTCAAAGAAATGTTTATTTATACCCAGGGCTATCAGCATTTCTAATAGATGACTCTGACCCCTTAGGACATATATTTAATAAGACCATGAGTGGAGGCCCGACTTTTTTGCATTAACTTCAGTTAACACAAGCTTCTTAAAGCCAAATACATCACTTGCCACTATAACGGCTGTGTGACTGCTTGGTATGAAATTCTATGTGGGGAAGTTCTGTGATCATGTTTGTCATACTTAAGGGGGAGGCAGGGAAGTGGTAGGTTGTCATCAGCTACGTTCATGAGGTTGGCATGGTGGTAGCATGCTGTTTAGGATGCATCCATCAGACAAGCGGGGCCTTGGAAGTCCCAGGCCAAGCTGGCCAAGCTCAGACACAAAGCAGCTGAAACTATGGACACCAGTCCTCCCTCCCAGAAACTGGACACAACTTTGCAAGAACCGATGTTCCTTTCTCCTCGTTACTGATAGTGCCTAGAGTGTGTAGCACGGTCAAGGCCAGTGCCTTGGCACCGCTGTGAGTTACGCAGTAGTAACCAAACAAAGTGGCAAAGGATGAGACATTGCAACGTTTCGCGTGTGGGTTTTTTTTTTGTCTTGGCATCTTTTTTTCCTTTTAGCCTTCACTATGTTACATATGTATTCCCCTGCAAAGAAGACAAATGTCCCAAAACGGATTGGGAACGAGGCAGGGGATGGTGGGTGGGGAGAAACATGCCAGAGCGAGGGCAATGGGTGAAAAAATGGTTCGGGGACACATGTGTCATGGGGCTGACTCATGGGGTTGCAGTGGCAGACGGAGAGCCAGGTACCTTGTCTGCAACTGTTAAGTTGGGGGTTTGCCCAGATAACACTGTCGTTCTCTCCACCCACCAAGCACCCAGGGCACCAGGCTGGGTGCTCACAGATTGAGAGAGTGGCATTTCCTAACGGCATTTAAGCACATGTAACAGGGCCATTTTCTTACACACTCTGGCTTGCTAAGGAACCACCAGGTCGGTTAATGTTCCACAGACTCACTTTCCAGATTGCTGAAAAGAATGATCAGACAGAATCTGTTGCTGTTTTCCAGTGGGGGCTCTCAAACCTGATGGCCCGTTGGAACCATGAGAATTTATTCTCAGAGAATAAAAAGCACGTGTACTGAGGAACCCCACTGCCCCCCTGCACCTTTAGTTGCCCCCTCACCCCCAGGGTAGCCAGTATTACCAGTTCCTTGGTTGTCTTTCCTGAAACAGTTTATAAATATGCATGCAGTTGTTTACAAAAACACCCATATTTCCATTCTCTTTTACATAAATGGCAGCACCCCGTACAAGTATATTGCTGTTCTGTACCTTTCTTTTCTTAGGATACCCTGGACATGACTCCCTGTCAGTACATAGACAGTGGGTCTCAACCACAAGCCATTTTGCCCCCCGGGGACATTTGGCACTATCTGGAGACATTCCTTTTGGGTTGTCACAACTCAGAGAGGGGAGTGTGGGGAGTGCTGCTGGCATCTAGTGGGTAGGCTCCAAGGATGCTGCCAAACACCCTACAGTGCCCAGGACAGGCCCCCAAAACAGAATTGTCCAGCCCCAAATACCAGTAGTGCTGAGGCTGTGGAACCCTAGTCTACCATAGAGATGTACAATTTGTTTATGTTCGTCCACGCCCCACTGATGGACAGATAGCTTCCTTCCAATCCTTTACGGTCCAAAACAGCGTTACACACTTTTCACACATAAGCATCCATCTGCAGAATAAACTAGAAGCAGAACTGCTGGGTCAGAGGGAGGGTGTTGCCTTTGTCACGTTGTGGCTATTGCTTAAGTCCCTGCCCCCACCCCACCCCCCTTTTTTTTTTTTGGTACCAGCCCCCATACAAGACTAAGCCCGAATGTCCAGTGATGGGGTCTGAGTGTGCATGTTTTCTTAATCCGTCCATGTTCTGGTACTCAGGGTTGACAATCGCTGGCTTCAACACCTCAACTGGATTTGTTTCTCTAAAGTTCCTGCCGACTCTAGCCCATGACACACTTTTGGTGCCATGTTAGCGAGCACTTTGTAAGTAAAATGTGGGTGAAATCAGAAAGGTATTCCTGGAAGGCCCTTTTCTGAGATGGGAAATAGTAAAATTCTGCACTGGAAATTTACAAAGGAAAGCGTATTTTTCTAAAACTGTTCTAGCAGCTGACAGCAATTTTAAGATAGAGCAGGCTCCCTACGTAACAAAGATTCATACCTCCTAATGCAAAAACCTGGTGATGAATGTGTGAGTCTTGATATTACATCAGACATTTCTTTTGCATGAGACATCTTGAATTTGAAGAACCTGACCTATCAAATACAGCCATGGACAAAACAAAAATGCTAAAATGTCACTGTTTTGATTATCACGTGAGCAGCATGGTACTTATTCAAAGCCCTCAAAAGAACACACCAGAGGCCAGATGATCGAGAAGGAAAAGACCCATCAATTCATCAAAACTAGATACAAACCTTTCATTGATTTCCTGTCATTTTCATTTCACTCACATTCTTTGTCTTTTCAAAGGGCTGGAAGATTGCCATACCATAGCGCCAGAGCCCTGCAACTTTGGCTTTTCACTTTAAATGCCAGCCTCCCACCCCAAAAAAGAAAAAGCAGTCAGCGTTTGGCTCAGGAATGGAGTCACATTTGTTCACAAGTAGCTGGTTGCTGACCCAGGTCACTGTTCAGACTGGCTTTAGTATTAAGTCTCTGGCCGTCTTCCGTGGATTCACTTTTCCACCCCATTTCTATTTCAATTCATCAAACCCTTGCACTATGGACATAAACATGGAAAAGATATCATCTATTTGACCAGATTCTGGTTCCCAGGAGTCAAAAATCATTGGGCATCACATCTTTGTCAAGCCCTCAAAGCGGTCATTTCCAATAGTCGGGAGAAAATCAATTTCTCTACTGCCGAATTGGATGAGAACGGTGGCTCCTGACACATGCCCTTCCATACAGGACGCCGGCAAGGACAAAACTGTTTCTCAAGCTTATTAAATAACAAGTCCCTAGAACTATAAGACGAAGAAGAGCAGTTCAGAATATCAGCACCTTCAGCCTGAACCTGGGTTCCAGATTGGAAAGAAAACTTACACCAAACTGCATTATCATCAGACAGTTTTATTCGGCCTTGAACTTGTCCTTTGTATAGAAACGCTGTATCTTCCTGTGGGCTCTGCTGCTGGTGGTGAGCCTCTACTTGCTTCTGTCCTTCTTCTCCCTCCCCTTGACCCTGTCATCTCTGAAGTCCCTCTCTCTATCCCAGTCACTCTCAGGCCACACCCTGGGTGGCTCTCTTTCCTGCCACCTCTTCTCCCGCCCACGGTCATGGTCTCGATCCCTGGTCCTCGACTCCCAGTGTCCTTCTCGGGATCGAGATTGGTCCCTCTTTTCCCTTCTTCCCTCTCTATACTGGTCGTTTTTAACAACTGGCAAATTAATGGGTTTTCGAAAAGGCCGATCCCGCCCTCCAAACCTTAGCTGCCCAGATTCCTTTTTCCCCCCCAGCCCTCCTCCAAGTCGCCGAGGGATCCACCCTTTCAGAGTCCTTTCCAGTTCATAGTCCACAAAAATCTCATGCTGGTCGATGACCAGGCCGTCGGCATCTCGGTAAGCTTTGAGCAGGGAACGCTCCTCTTTGTATTCGATGAAGGCGTAGCCCTTGGAAAAGCCCGTGACCAAGTCCCTCACCAGCCGAAGCCTCCGGATGTCCCCGTAGCGGGAAAAGACTTCCTTTAACTTCTCCTCTTTGGTCTGCAAATTCAGTCTTGCCACAAACAGGGTGAGGAGGGGATCTCCCGTGACGCCTTTGTTGGGGGCGTATCGAGCCAACATTGCCCTCCAGACGGCGCGATCGTGGGGGTCTTCATCGGTGCCATCGATGCTGCCAGCTTTGAGTGGGTCATACTCCTTGGCGATGGGCATCCAGTCATTCATGTTCTAGGAAGGACCATAGCAAGTGTTTATGTAGCACCGACTGTGAGCTACTCATTTAATCCTTAGGACAAGCCCAGGAAGTAGGTACCATCATTTACCCCTTCTTCAATAGGGAAGGAAGCAAATCCCCAGAGGCTGGGGCCTTCCTGATAGAAAGCGGAGGGGAGACTATCAAAGCTCAGCAGTGGGGCTCCAAGATGCTCTTACCTTACCTACTCCCCGCCCCCCGCCCTCCCTCCCAGGATGAAGCAAAGGGCAACTTACGCTTGAGTTTGAGGCATGCGTGTGCCATCCAGTTTAGTCATGGGAGAAAACTTAAACCAACTACATTATAACGTGGTGACATGGATCAAAATCCAGGCTTGCCTTTTAGAGATTTTTAAGAGGGCACAGGAAAACCAGCCTGGGAACTGCTGTGGGAAAAGGCGTCTTAAAAAACTCTTTACTATGAAGAATTTCAAACATAGCAACGTCGAGAACGGCATCACCCTCCACAAAGTCCTCACCCGGCTCCAACTATGTTCAACATGTGCCAGTCTTGTTTCATCTGTGCTCCTCCTACTCACGCCCCCACTCCCGGCTTATTCTAAAGCACATTTTAGATATTACATCACTCATCTGTTAACATTTCAGTATGGGCAACTAAAAGATAAGGGCTTTTTCAAGAACAAAGCTACAAGGGAAAATGGTGTTCTGAATGCAGCATTGTGCATCTGTCTGCAAACAGGTAGCAAAGCTAAAACGACAGTGTCCCAGCAGCAGGCTCTTCGGTTCAAAAGGAATATGAGATTTCTTCCCAGTTCCCTAGCTGATAATCCATTTATGCCTTGGAGCATGAGAATTGGTTGCAATGGTAATTTTAGTCCAGCCAGCACACTGCAATGTCATTTGTTCTGATATATAACTTTTTTTGAAAGAGGGTAAGTTTAAGTCTGACACATGATAATTGATTCATGTGAAATCGGGAATAATACAGTGTTTACCAACATTTCAGACACTGCTGATAACCACGTGACCAACTGTGTAAATCTTTAGAGCCAATGCTGAACTGTTACTTAAAAACCAGTGCTCTCCGGAATATATTATATACGGTAATGCTCATCGCTAACAACATCTTTCCATAATATTTGTTAAAATGGTATCTGCAACTTTTCCCCTCTTTCTCAAATTTCCCTCAAGGGTCTTTTTACTTTAGTTTTTCAGTTTATGGGTTATGTAGCCAGAGTGATTGTTTTGGGGCTACATTGTGGAATTTCTTTTCCCCATAAAAAAAGCAAAACACCTACAGAATCAAGTCCAAAGTCAAGAGACTCAAGACCTCTGACCCTCACTTAGCCTCGCACCATACACATTCCACCCCATTCTATTCTGCCCAGGGTTGCTCCTCATACCTCGAATGTACCCTAATTCCCCAGCTCCACGTCTTTCCTGGTACAATTTCCTCTACTGGGAATATTCTTTGCTGCGTCCCATGGCTCCACCTGTGGAAATTCTCCTGGCCCTTCCAAGTCCAGCTTCCAAGCTCTTCCCCATGAAGCAAATTCATCTCTCCCACAGCTCATGGTACCTCTTCTGTCAAACTGGTCACATTTTGCCCAACGCACGGTTAAACGTCCTTCAATCTAGTGGCTGCCTCACTTCATCTCCAGATGCGAGGACACTTCCCGACAGATACTGAGGAACTGAACCAAATGCAACCAAAATTCACTGAACTGTTTGTGGCCTAAAATCAGACAAAAAGGACCACTTCATTGAGAAGTGAGAGGAAGGACTTTACACGGTCTACCACCAAATTGTAAACAGAGGGCATATATGTCTGTTGTTAACAAGCAACTTTGGAGAAGACACGTCTCATTAGCAATCCTCATTAGTAAAAGGATGAGAACTAGCGGGAGCTACGAAAGGAGCACCAGACACAGTGAGAGGATTTCGGTCCCAGTCCTGGTGTGGGCTCTATCTCTAATGCCACTTTGTGTCTTTACTCTCTCATGGCGGAATTTCTCCACGTGAAAAAAATATATCACTATGTTGTTTGAATCTCTGCTCTGGTATTCTCTATATCGATTCCATTCTGACCCTAAAATTCTTAGATTCTAATCTTATTTCCTACCTCTATCACAGGGTTGCAGGAACAAAACCAAAGACCTTAATTATAGGTAACTGGTATTGAACATTTAGGAAGTGCCAGGCACTGTGCTTAGCATGTAACTCTCTCACCTCTCAACAATACCAGGAAATAGGTATTACTATTATTGCCATTTCAGATGAGGAAGGTGAGATGCAAAAAGGGTCTTTTGCCCCAAATCACAAAGCTAAGAAGTAGTCCGGCCTGGGAGTTACAGCGAAGGGCTTTTCGACTCTAGAGCTTGAGCTCTTAACTATTTCCTTAGATGGCTGTCATAAAATATAAACCTTTGGAGTTGGGGATAGGAAAAAAACGACCAGGATTCTGGGTGTTTGAGCCCCTCCCACCGACCCCCAAGTGGGAAAGAACCCCTTCCCCATTCTACAGGAAAAGATCACAAAGATCCATCAAATGAAACTGCTATTACTGTACACAGCCAGAGCTCTGGTTCAAAGCTCAAAAGTTCTTCAAATTAAAATCTGGAGAGGATTACAAAGGGATAAGCATGGACTTTTGTTCTCTTTCTCATCTGCATGCTTCTATCAATATCAAACACCAAGAGAACAGTGGCTTCACAGCATCTCATTAATTTTTCCAGGTGTCTTTCCTCCGCTGCAGCATTATGCTGACATTTCCTACAACAATCTCTTTGGAGTTTTAGATTCTCATCATTATTTCATAAACAGAGATAAGATATGAAAGAAGGGTGCATGGTGGGGGTGGGAGGTGGATGGGCAGTTAACCATTAAAGAAAAAGTGTGGAAAGGGAAAAAGTGCATTGGATTGGCAGTCAGAAAACCCAAGTTTAAGACCTAGTTCTATATATTTTGGGCAAACTGTAAATCATTTGTAATATATAGCTAACTGCCGCTTCACTAGGTTTTTGTGAAAATTAGATAAGGCAGTGTCTCTGACAGTGGTTTATAATTATGTTACTCTACAAATAAGTTATTATTACGCAAACAAATAAAGCATGTTTCTCCTTACAGGGTCTGCAGGGAAAGACATTCCCGCATTTCCCACCCAAGTGAGACACAAAACAAAATTGAAGCCGGGACCCACCGAGCCCTCCCGAGCATGCGCAGTGGCGCCGTGGACGCCAAGGCGGAAAAGCCTGCACCCCCACACCGCCCCCCAGCGCCTTCGCCTTTGTCGCCAGCCCTTCACCTTCTGGGTGGGCGCAGAGCAGAAGGGATCTCCTTCTAATCCAGCTATCTCCCCCGCTCCCCGAAACCGAACCCCAAAAGGTTTCCCACGTGGCCCGGTTTCAACATGGCGGCCCATACACGAGCGGACGCCTGGTCCAGGTCGAATTTAACATCGTCCTTCTCGCCAGGTGGGGGGCCCTGCTCCCGCCCCTCTTCCACTCACCTCAGCAAGGTTCGGGTTCCCTTTCCCAAGAAAACCGGCGCCCGGCCAGAAACGATGGAAGATTCTTCGCGCCTGCCTGACCGGACCTTTCCATCGGAAGAAGCAGATTCGTCACGGGCGCTGTTTCTTTTTTCTTTCTTTTTTTTTTTTTTTGCTCTTTATTTTGGGGAATTTAATTACCTGTATTGCGCATCGAAGGCGAATTATTTCCGAGAATAAAACTTCCTTTTTTCTAATTTTTTTTTCACCCCCACGAAAGACAACGGCTACATTGAACCATTGAAAGACTATGAAATGTGCAGTTACTCGTCTGGGAGCCCCAGAATGTCTCTGTCTGGAAAGGCTGTCAACGCAGCGCGCGTTTGTTCCCAGATTGCCGCTTTGACAATCTAGTTCTAGTCTGGTTCCTTCAGAAAACGCCGGTTCACATGAAACTTGGTACGTTTTCCCAGAGTGTTCCTAACCCCCTAGATTTCATAAATTCGCTTCACACACAAGCAACACAGTTGTTCAGAGCATGGGGTGGTGGGGTGGTGGGGGGGCTTTGACTTGTAAGAGTCGTGTGGGAACTTGTTGAATGCGGTTTCCTGGGCCCCGCCGGAATCTGTGACCTCAGAGTTGTCGGGGTTTGGCATTAACCCCTGGTCTTTGCAAAAGGTGAAAGCATTCAGACTCTACCAAGTGGGAGAAGAAGAAAAGGCTTTATTAAAGGTGGGTGGGGCAGAGAGAGTGCCCATGGCAGTGCCTGGGGTGGGGGGTGGGGGCGAGTCTGATAGGGACGGCTGCACTGAACTTCAGGTTAGCTTTTTCTTATATAGGAAAGGGGGAGTCGGTCAGGTAGGTAGGTCTGAGGGCTGACAGGCTTCCTGGGGTCTGTCTGGTCTGTTTGAAGATAATGTTATCTCTGGGACTCTGGACTCGGCCATCAATGCCTGGGGCTTTACGTTTCACCAGTAAAAAACTGCAGGGGAGTTGTAAATTGGATTCCAGTGTCTGGGCGCCTGAGGATTAAGAAATTGCTCTTTTCAGGTTGGGGTTCTGTTAATTAGATAGATTCACGAGTAACCTTGAGAAGGGGAACAAAACAGAGTTCTTCAGTTAATCCGTGAGGGGAGACACAAAAAGGAAACAGCTTAATATCAGGATGGATCTGTTGGGTTGTCGGAAATGCCATGACGTATTTTTTTCTATGTTTTTCGTTGCAAAAATATGTCATGACTTTTCCGACAGCCCAATAACTGCAAACCTAAATAAAGTCTAATTACAGGTGGCTAGACAGCGAGCTATGTGGTGAGTCAAACTGCAAACTAGCAAAGTCTAACTACGTTATTGATTTACTGAATTTCACCCTTACGAGAATCTCTGGAAATGTGCATTTTTTTCCAAGTCCCCAAATGATTCTTGAAGCCTATTAAAGGACCCCTGCCATTAGAGTCACGGTTCAGAAGCCCAGATTTTAAATGCTGGGTGTGGGAGAGAGAGGAAAGACGCGTGTGGTCAATAAATATTTGCGGAACAGATAGAGGTATGCATTCTAATTTATGTCACATTTCTTTTTTGGTAGGTCAAGATATTCGGGTCAATTACAACTTGATTGTGTCACAACTTGAAATTTGTTGATACAATCATGCTTTCTTAAATTTGATGATGGATGTCTTGTGATGTTCTTCAAGCCACTCATTTTCTGATTCATCCTTGTCTCTGCGGACAAGTCATCTCATTTTCATTCTAATTTTATTCTGGGAAGGTAAGCTTATCTCTAATTGCTAAGGATGTGTTACTGTTACCCCGTCTTTACTGAATCTCTATTACATAGTTGAAACATAGGTTATAAATATCAACAGCTTTCTTTCTAGTACATTTTCTTAAAATATATTGATAAAAATGTGTCATTGAATAAAAAATGAGCAATATCTATAGTTTAAAATTTTTATGCTTAAAAATATATGGAGGGCCGCCCAAGTGGCTCAGTTGGTTAAGAGCTCGCTCAAGAGTTTGAGCTCTGAGCAACAGCGGTTCGAGTCCAGCCCGAGCTGAGCAGCCGCTGAGCTACCAACAGGTAGCAGGATGGCTCAGCTAAAAAAAAAAATATATATGGAAATAGCAGTGGAATACTATTCGGCTTCAAAAAAGAAGGAAATTCTGATAATCGCAACAACGTGGATGAACCTGGAAGACATCATACTAGTTGAAATAAGCCGACACAAAAGAACAAATCTTGTATGATTTGATTTATATGAGTAGTCAAATTCATAGAGACAGAAAGTAGAATGGCAGTTTCCAAGGACTGGGGTTTTGGGTAGGGGGCAATTATTGTTTGAGTGCGGACGTTGAAGTTGGGATGATGAAAAAGTTCCAGAGAGAGATGGTGATGGTTCTATAACACTGTGAATGTACTTAATGCCACTGCATTATACACTTAAGAATAGCTAAAATGGTAAAAGTTATCTGTGTTGTACCACAGTTTAAAAAAGGTTTGTTAAATGTGTGTGTGCACCCCAGTAACAACAAGCACAGCCTCGCACCTAGATCATGTTTCTGGTGTCATTCTCCTAACAGTAACCAGTGCTCCTTTGGAGAAATGGCTGATTCTAAGAGTGGGGCAAGAAATACGCAAGATGAGTTTGGAGCTACTTGTAGTGTTGGAATGCGAGAAGTGCTAATAACAGACAAATCCCCCAATGATTACGGCAAAGGGAACAGAGGAACCAACTGAAGGGTCCCAATGGCCAAAGCAAAACAATTCGAGCAACAAAATAGTGTTAGATTACAACCCAAAATATAAAATAAACATCTGAGTCTATACTGATATAAATAGATGATTAAATAAATCAACTGGGTAGAAGAGACGAGTCTCCCATGCAGAATTCCAAATAATTTATGTAGATAACTCTTGAGAAGACGAGTATAACTCCCTACCCCTAAGTGTGGGCTGGGCATAGTAACTTCCTTCCAAAGAATACAGTATGGAAAAGGGGAGAAAGAGGAGTAATTTACAGTGGAGAAACCCGACAGACACAGGTGGTCAAGGTCAACGTCAACAGTATGTCACGTTACTAGTATGTGATGAAAATGACACTTGACCTCTGTGGCCTTCCTCCCCAAAACCCGTAACCCCAGTCTAACCATGAGAAAAGCATCAGACAAATCCCAAGGAACATTCTACAGAACACCTCACCAGTACCCCTCAGCACTGTCAAGGTCATGAAAAACAAGGAAAGTCAGAAACTCACGACTAAGAGGAGCCTGTACTCTTGGTGTCCAGTATGGTCACCTCTAGCCATTTGTGGCTGTATACATTTCAATTTAATTAAAATTGAAAACAATTAAGAACTTTGTGTCTCAGTTGCATTGGCCACATTTCAAGCGTTCAATAGCCACATCCTTGTGGTTGCTAGTAGCTACTATAGTCGACATACAGATACAGGACATTTCCCTCTTTGTAGGAAGTTCTGACAGACAACACTGGTCTAGAACAGTGTCATTCCAGAGAAATAATGGAAGCCACATATGTCATCTTTTGTTTGCTGGGTCAGTGGAGGTTCACACCTGGAGTCCTAAAGAAGGAGGAAGCAGGCTTGGGCACAGAAAGCCTTCAGACCAGGAAGCGGGTCTGACACCTGGGACAGAGCAGGACCGTGAAGAAGGACCTCGACCACAGCAGAAACTGGACCAGCCTGATGGGTTGCTCCAGAGCAAAGATTGCCAAGTAGACTTGTCCCATGTTGGACAGAATGGTCCTGGTGTCCCTGCTATGTTGTCATCAGCTGAGGGCTCCTGGGAAAAGTGTGTTGTCAGCGTGAATGCTACCTACGGCTGGAGGCTGTCAGGGAACTGCACCCCTCGAACTGACCGGCAAGCGCTTTCCTTTTTTTATTATTTTGGTAAAAAAAAAAATTAATAACATAAAATTCACCATCTTAATTATTTCCAAGTGTATAGATCAGTAGTGTTAAGTATGTTCACCTTTTGTGCAACCGATCTCCAGAACTTTTTCCTCCTGCAAAACTGAAGACCGGCCGAGTGGCACGATGGTTAAGAACTGGCTTGGAACGCCAGAGGGCCCCGGTTCGGATCCCACATATGAGGGCCAGTGACACTGCCCTCTACAGCTAAGATGCTGAACAACAGCTCAACC